CTTATCACAAGAAAAATGAGAAAAAAACTTTTGTGTTGCTCTTTTGAATATGATTTTTAATACGGTGTAATTTCAATTTCTTTTAAATGTTTATATGTATACATGCATTTAGTTATACGACCTTCGTCAATTTTATTATACAGCCGTAAGAACCCGAAGTGAATAGCAGTAATATATAATATATACCTATAGTTACTCTAACTAAAAGAAAAGACAATGACAAAAAGAAAGCTGTCACTCTCATGTTACTACGTCAAGAAAAATAAAGTTTTATAGGTTATTGATTTGAATGATTATTATTGTTATTATTATAAAGAAAGAAAAAGTCGTACGCTCATTGACCTTACTCTGTACAAAAAATATTGCCCTTAATATAATTAAGTATTTTTATTGTCACGTATTTGTATCGCGTTATAAAGTACGTTAATCTTAGTATAATCTACTATATATAGTAGTTACTAGCTATCCACCTCGGCTTCAAACGGGTCTACATGTATATACACATATTATAAATAAACCTTCCTCTTGAACCACTCCTATCTATTGCTAAAAACTGCATTAAATCCGTAAAAGCGTAGTTTACCATAAAAGATCTAGGCAGAGATAGCGGAAACGAGATCATTCTATCATCTATGTAAAGCTGTACTAATTGCTAATTTTTTTACTAAGCATAAGCATTTTTAAATGGATGTATATCATGCAGCCGCTTGTAGCAACGGTAAAGGGTGGAGGATGACAGAATGAGCATGTAGTTTGGTCAATGAGCTTATCGACTTTTTACACGATGGTTTCAAGGGTTATTCGCGAGTTGATCAAACTTTAGGGTCATCTGATACGGTACTTTGGTAGCACCAAAGGTAGAGTATAAATTGATAGGTTTACATTTTTTTACATTAGGCAAACAGACAGATGGAAACCTCGACGTTACTGTGTACTCGGGACCATTTATAAATTACGACACATGTTCATGGGAAACTCCTGCGACCTCTACCAACTGCTTTGAGGGGTCTTAAATTTTGTGACATCACATTTAAGATTAAAACACGAAATATTTATCTATAAAAATGTGACCATTTGTAACAGGGGGAGGGGGTGGAATGAAAGGAGTGTGTGACATAATTTATCGGCCCTATTTGTGGATACTTTACTTTTGTCGTTTCTTTAACTTTATTTGCGCATTACAATTTAATTAGTTTTATCCAAATCGGTATGTCGTCAACGTGACATACACATACGGGCGACCTCATTAGATATCAAGTACAACCACTGGGCAAATATAATCGAGAACCTGCCGCGGTATTGGTTAACCTCCGTTTAGTTGTCTTACACAGAGGAAATCTTACATCCACATCTTTCAAGAGCTATGTTTAAGATCAAAATCATCTATACTAATATAATAATTATAAATTCAAAAGTATGTTTGTTTGGTCTATTTGTTAACTTTTTATGACAGAACAGAGTTGTTACGAAGATTCGTTGTATCACCAGACAAATAGCTAACTTTTGTCTCAAACAGAAATCTAGAAGGCGTTGAAATAATGGATGAAAGTTTGTGCAGACGATTATTTCTATAACGAAAGATTTAATGGTATAAGTTATAAATATTCGAGAATATTATATTATACTAATATTATTCAATGTCTGTAAATTAAATGGATATAATTATTCGTTTATGTTATTATTTAGTGTATTATTGCAGAAAGACAACTAGAGCTACTGAAAACTGTATTGTAATCGTTTAAGGCCATACTGAGTGTAGCGTACATAATTGCACTAAACAAATAATACTTTAAAAGTTATTGATTTAACCTGACCGGAATTATAAGTATACTTAGGGGCCATCTATTAATCACTTATTACGAATTTGATATATTTTTTATTAGATTTTACGCCCTGTCCTTGTCACAGATGGTTACATTTGTAAGAATTCCGCCTCCCTTGTGTGACATTATATTTTCCAAGACAAGTAGAATTGGATATATTTTTAAGATTTTCGTTAATAGTTAAAATTTTCCTTATATAATAAGTACTTAGATTTTCAAATATGACATCACTAAATTTGGGACCCCTAATTGATCGCTCCAGAGGCACAGGATATCGTTGCACTGCTGTTGACCCAGTGCTTCTGGACGTAGACACAAATGTATGAACTGAGAGAATATCTCTATAAATTATAATTTACTAATATTGCTAACAAGTTGTTTTACTAACACAATATGGATTTAATCCGAATCAAATATGTATTATGATAGTTCTAGACAATTTTGATAGCGGGAATTGGTTCAAAAGTTACTTGCGAGTTTTGACCCTTCTCTCAGATAACGTACTACGTAACTTACTTAAACAAACGAAGTAAACTAATTAATAGTTAGTAAATAAAAATAATATTATCTTCCTTTTAATGTACTGAAAATTATTCTGTGATACTCTAACCTAATAAAAGTGGTGATAAATATGCCTTAAGGTCAGCGTAAACAAGGAAAATGTGTAATAGTTAAGAATTTCTGTCTGCTGCAACAAAATAATATCTTGCATAAGATTTCTAGTCAGAATTATACACATATTATACGCGAAAGGAGTAGGTATTGAGTACCAACGAAGTAATAATAAAGATTCATTTGTATAAACAGTTTTTATTTTAATTTCTAAGATATAGTTGTCCGATATAGATAATAAAATATGGTCTCCATGGATAACTGGATTCACTTCAGTCTCACATAAAGTGTTTCAGCCATCAGTTAGTTTGCTTGGTAAGCCGTGTTTCGAGTATAACGCGAGAAATCAGTGAATTCCATTCAGATAAGAGGCATGACATTAGAGTCCTTATATGAGCGGTATCACGGGTATTACATGATAACGTGATATCCGTAATGCTAATCATGTAAGTATATAGGTGATGATGTTAGCTTGAAGAAAGATAATCACTTATATGTATATGCCTAAATAAAGGTATAAATTTTTAAATTTTACCAAAACTATTTGTTATTAGTAATGTTATGTAATATTATGTTATCTGTGAAAATGTATATATTATACAGGTACGTCATATTAATTAAGTCGTGAAAATATATTAAACAAAAACTATATTGTTGTAATTAATAGAATGTCTACTATAAATCAACTTTCAGTAATAAGGTGTTTATACTAGAGAGAAGAGCAAGTAAGTAGTTTTCGTAGTTACTTATTCGTACCTTGAGAGGCAGTAGGTATTAGTTTAATGATATTACTACCTCACTTTGATAAACAACTTGGTACATAATGTTTTGCTATGGTGATTTCTATCTACAAAGAGTTAAACCACATTTAAATGAAATAAAAAGTGCCACGTATCAGATTTGAACTTAAGTTGTGGTAGTAAATAACTATGCAATAACGCTACCTAAACGTCGTACCTAGCGTAAATATTAATATTTTTATAATTATGACAATATGATACCTGAATAAATAGTTCCGAATGAAGTCAAAACAAATGTCGCGAAGACGAAAATTGAATAAGTTAGTAAGTTCATTAAATTCCCATACACAGTTATAAAAACGAATACAAAGTTTAAAAATAACATAAATATTGTTTTGTAAGTACTTAAACTATTTATAGAATTCACTATAAATAGATAAGGTTAAATAGGAACTTTGTATTTATATGGCGAAGGTTAAACGATCAAGCTTTTAAAGGTCAATAATCAGAATAGATTATTAAAATTAACAAATATATTTTTTTATACAAATGTTTGTTGCAAGTCACTATTATTTAATTATAAATATACAAATGATAATTGCGTGATGATTATCATCGTTACCAACAAATTTAGCTGCGAGGTATTCATAATACAATTGTTATGATGATCTTACAAGACAATAGGATTATTCCGTTTGTTTGTGACTTTTTGAAAATTAGTTTTTATTTATGTTAGATGCCTATATAATTTATAATCCGGTACCTACATGATTTATAATTACTTAATCACTTGGCGGACATCCTTCAGAACAATGTTGTATAAAAAAATGTATTGCACACGATAGGTACTATGGGTATTTTTTTTAGATATGGAAATGCTTATATAATATAATTTAAGGCTGTTTATATTAATATTCTTTACAGTTGAAAATTCGATTTGATAGACGTTAGACAACAGTTTGATACTATAATATCTGATATATAAAATTATCGTGTCACAGGTTTCGTGTTTATACTCCTCCGAAACGGCTTGATTGATTTTAATGAAATTTTATATGTATATTCAGTAGGTTTGAGAATAGGTTTATAACTAATTTTATACCCCTTAGTGTGTGGTGGGTCACCCCGGTTTTTTTTTCATTTTTTTGACAAAACTTTAAATTTTTAATTTTTTTAAATGTGGCATGTAAAAATACATACAATCCTAAATTTTCACCCTTCTATCACCAACCTCTATTTTTTTAATAGCGATTTAATTTATATGGCAAAACAACGTTTGCCGGGTCCGTTAGTATGAAAATATAAATAATCATCTTGCACTTATATGAATTCACTAACTATGAATACTTTATACCTCATAATTTAGTCTAAACGGCATTATTACGTATCACGGAACGAGTTATTGCTGTTATTTGTTTGTAGTTTGTCTTCTAGTATGTTGCACAGGTTTGTCTTTTGTTTCTGTGTCGTGAAATTTCGGAAATTTCATTCGTATTGGATAGATTTGACTCACCAAAAGTGTCTGCAAGCTATATGAATTGTTAATTATTATTTTGAGAGAAAAATAAATTTAGTTCAGTTTCTTGACAGTTTTTCTCAATTGAATCTGTGTACTGAATTGGACGGCAGGGGAAAAATTATAATTAAAAAAATATTACGTTCAAAAGCGGCTAAAATGTCCTACATGAATAAATTATTTTTGATTTGAGTGAATAATAAGATATTTATATTTAAAACGAAATTTCGCCTCTGCTATTTGGGATGTGTAAAAATAAATAATCCGTCAATTGTTTCTAATTTTAGTAGGTAATATAATATTATTTTATCAATGTTAATAATGAAAATGGAAAAGAAATAATATTTAATATTATACTCTTAATAAAGACAATAATCATACTGTACGTATTTATATAAAGTGAGTGAATGAAGAAAAATGGGTAAATTGGAGAAGAATAGTGAGAAGTTACAGAAGGAGGCGTTGAATGCGTCAGAGACGTGGCGCATTCTGAAGAATGTGGTGGTTATCAGTGCGGCTTTCATGGTGCAGTTCACTGCTTACTCTGTAAGTTATATTTATATATTGGACTAGTGGTTCCCGAGACTTTAACGTAATGTACACGATATTTCTATAGGCCATTTATTGACGGTAGTCAATTAACAAAAACAAATAAGCCTTTATTCAGTACTTCCATCAGCAGTAAGTACAGACACACAGACACACACACACACACACACGCACACGCAAACAGTACCCTGCGCAAGAACGACACGCAAAGTCTTGCAGCATAAAGGATTTGCGGAAGACTTGTGTCAGTCAGCTTTTAAACAAGGCCATTTTTTATTAACAAAATTAATTAGAACTAAATAAATTCATAAATCAATTGGTAATAGTGAATAGTGAAATAAGAGAGAGTGAGTGAATCACAGAGTTAGTAAAGATACTAACTCTGTGACTCACTCTCTGTTTCACTGACATTTAAGACAAGAGTCTTATATTTCAGCGTGACAAAAGAATGTAGAGAGTATAGATATTTACCCTGAATACATGGCGATGTGACACTTATTGTCTATTACAACTAATAATCCATAATTAAATCATATTTACGTGTATATGTGTTAACAATTACAGGGGGCAGCTAATCTCCAAAGTTCTATCAATGCTGAAGCGGGTTTGGGGACTGCGTCGTTGGCAGCAGTGTACGCTGGCCTAATATTTTCCAACATATTCTTACCAGCTGTTGTTATAAAGTAAGTTTTCTTACACAATTTATAGAATATATAGTCCTTCATTTTATTCATGATTTAAGAGCCACTCTCTTGTTTCTCACGATCTTCCACCGTGCTCTTTAAATAATGCGCGCGAATACAAATGAAAAACTCCAACGCAACTCCAACTTTGTCCTCTTTTTCTTTCAATATTTTCTTCAATAATAATTGTGGTATATATAGTCTTTGGTCTAATTTATTTATAATATTTGTAGTAGATGTTTATAACGTACTCTGTGCATTCGGGAAGTCTTTATTGTAAAAATGGCGGGAACGGCCAAATTTAAAGTGTAGCGCGAATTAGCTCTTTATTTAAATTCAGTACAATAATATTCTTTAATTATTCGTGCTTAAATATGTGCATAACATTTTCAATAAAATTGCTAACTTATATAATATTTCATAATTACAGATGGCTGGGCACAAAATGGGCGATATCCATTTCATTTATTACTTATATGCCATACATAGCGGCACAATTATGGCCAACATTTTACACACTCATTCCGGCCGCCCTGATTGTTGGCCTGGGCGGCGGTCCTCTTTGGTGTGCCAAATGCACATACATATCTGTGGTAAGTCTTTTATTTGTATTACTCGTATAATTATTAGAAATTACTGTATAAGAGGCATGACATCTTATTACTAGAAAATTTAATGATCTCCAACTACGTAATTTTCATCCTGATCTTGGTAGTTTTGGAGTGTATTTTTCTGTACAACAAAACACTTAATCTTTTTAGTTTAATATAGAAGAAGTTCAAGTTTTTAGTACTTAATTGTATTTTTATGCAATACCACATTTATGTTATTTATTGTGTTGACAGATATTTTAATTAAATATATTTTACATAGAAATGTATTTAAATAAGTATTACTACAATGGCATATATATGTATACATACACATATATATGCCATTCTCCTAATTATAAATAAAATAAGTACAATGCGTTTTTCTGTACCTACTGATATGACAATTTGTAAATTTCAGGTGTCAGAAGTTCATAGCAAGATTTCTAAGATACCCGTTGAGGCGCTTCTTGTTAGATTTCTAGGATTATTCTTTATGATCTTTCAAATGAATCAAGTATGGGGCAATTTAATTTCTTCGCTTGGTTAGTATTAATTAGATTATGGACGTATTTATTATCAGCCAATAAAGTATCATTAAAGATACACTACACTGTTGACTTTCAAAAAACTTTATTAATAGATTTTCGTACAATATTTTCTTTTTCTTTTATTAAATAGGCAAAAGACTGCCAACTTTCATCTAAAAAAAAAAATTTTTTTTTATTGAAAATATATATGTATCTATAAGCTCAATAAACCTAAGTTTCTAATAAAAATGAAATTAGTAGAAGATCTAATACAGAGGTTCCCAAACTTTTTTGTATCGTAGACCTCTTGCCATAATTTTTGGGTTTAGGGTAGACGCCCATTCTTTCCTGGTATTGATTTATTGTAAATTTCTAACTAAGTAAAGTTTAGTGTTAAAAATATAAAGCAAAAACAACAACATGACCGCGGTCGTAGACCCCTTGCAGTTTGTCATAGACCCCTGGGGGTCGATATAGACCATTTTCGGAATCACTGGTCTAATATAACAAATGTTGTACACACGATATGTTTTGTTTACTTTGCATTTTGCTCTAGTACTAAACATAAGATGTTTTTTACAACAATATTCTTAATACGGAGGTAAGTGATCTCCTTTCATCAGTATACAACCATACATCCATCTAATAATATATATATGTATATAATTTATATAATATTGTTGTTTTATAAAAAAAATCTTTGATTTTAGTGTTGTCATCTGGCGATAATGCCGCGGCTGTGACCGCTGTTAATGCCAGTTTGATACCGGAGATATGCGGTGCAAACTTCTTGCCCAGTGCGGATGCTGGAGAGGCATTGCAACAGCAACCGGCAGAGAAAATCCAGATGATTGTTGGTATGTATTTTATTACAGAGCATTTGTGTTTGTCTCTGAGCTATGTGAGCTGTGTAACTTATTTCAAAGGACTTTTTAGGGTTTTGATCTTTTTAAAACATATGACGTTTCCAATTACGGTTTTATTGAGTTATCATAGATAACCCAAGAAAGTTTATATCAGTAACAAATTTTTTTATATATTTGAACATAAAGGAAAATTATATGTCATGATTTTTTCCATCTATTCGTCCATTTATCCGGTCGACTGCATTTTAGGAAATAGTAACGCTATATTGTTTTGAAATTTCGTATAGCTCTATGTATTGGTTAGCAAATATTTTTATTTTCTTTACAAAAGTTATGAGATAACTCACGAAAGAGTAATGTGTTACCGAAAACGAAGTAAACCTAAACTGCAGTTTTGCCCTGGAATTCATCATACTTACAGGTAGAAGTATGAGGAGATATATAGAGTCAATGTAAAATAAATAAACAATATTCTACTAGAAAATAAGTTTAGTTCTTCAATATCTTTCCAGTCCTTAATTTAGTAATATAATCATTTTACATTGCAGTAACTTTGCCTATTAATTGATTTCAGGTATATACCTGGCTTGTATGGCTGGTGCCGCATTGATCGTTGCCATTGGAGTTGACTCCATGAAAAGGTATTTTCTACTGATAATATTATAAACACAAAGATATTTGTTTATATCTGTTTGTTTAAAATAGATAATTTTGAAAAATATCTGATTAAATTTAAAAGCTTACATATGATAAGATTTATTATATTATAGATTTATAAATATTAAAATAATATAGAATTTGCTTTAGCAGTGAGTAAGATAGCCATATAAGACACGTTAGATAGAGATAGAGAGGGTATAAAATTAATCTTTTCTAAAATTAGAATAAACCGACGTTTCACATTTCATGTGGGTGGGTACATTTTTCACTGCGGCTCAGCCCCTATTTGTTACTACAAATACGTCGGTTTGTTCAAATCTTGTGAAAGATTAATTTTATACCACGGAGATTTCTCTCTATCTCTATAGCCTTTCTCGATTAATGAGTACTTATACTACACTAAAAATAATTTTTAATCAGCTCAGTAGTATCGGAGTTCTCGAACTCGATAAGCCAAAGTCACTAACTATACCTCGTTATCATTGTCATTAGTATAGACAGAAATAAATAGACGTAATGACATGCATCGAACTGTCGAGGTCTCATTTCCTCGGTTGTACCAATTTTCAGATATGATTCTGGCCGTGTCGGCTCCGGTACTGGACTGTCTGGGCTAGCCCTATTGGTGGTGACAGTGAAACTACTGATCGAACCTAATCAATTGCTGCTGGTGACCATCAACATATTCATAGGCTTTCAGCAGGCTTTCTTTGGTGCCGATTTTACAGTGGTAAATAGTATTACCATTTTTTTATACCACAAAAGAGGTTTTGGCTCACCTGATGGTAAGTGATTACCACCCATGAGCACCCGCAATGCCAGCGGAATTTTATGGAATAAGTTGTTTTCTTGAAGGTTTCAATATCGTATCGGAAAGGAAATATCATTGCTGGAAGGTTGTAGATCCTCAATGTGGTTGTGTGTCGCAAAAAGTTTCTAGAAAACCGCACTGTGGAAGACCGTCATTCATCCAGATAATTAGGATGGTATTTTAGTTTCTCGCGAGAGGTACGGTGGCAAAACTCAGCAGTTACCTACTATATTATGACACCTACAAGTTAATAACTAATTAAATTTAATTACGCATACCTAGTTAAAATGTATTTATCAAAATACAATTATCCTGTAATAACTTTACATTAGTTTGAAGGAATTTAAAAGTGTTTAGGTTTCAGTACACAGATCGGTATTCCAAAACAATAAGTTAAAGGGGAAGGGGATTGTTAATAATATGGACTGGTGACTCCATTGCTAGCAATGTATGATGTCAGGTTGACATCCACGCGGATCCCCCCCGAAAACTGTCGTCATAAATTCCTGGTGAATTTGTATCGATGGACTAACTAACTTGATCTCATGTTCATTTTATCTTACTCCACTGGTCTCCCGCCATCGTAAACCGTTAGCGCAGGCGGGTACACTACAAACATTATCATGTATTAAAAAATAATAATTTAATGCAATTAAATATTCTATATAATTTGCTGTTCAAAATTTCACAGGCGTTAAAAATCTACTTAGTAGACGTATTTAGGACGTAATTGAAAATGAAGTTATCAAGTGACTACCAAGTGATTGATTAAATATTTATTTTAGAACTGCTTAGCTTTGAATGAATCCTTGAAGTAGAAATATTATTTTATTATGTTGTAATAGAAACTGCCATTTTGTGCCACAATATTATTCAGAATATAAAAAGTGTACTTTATTTATTTGCAGGCCTTCGTATCTTGTGCAGTTGGTACTGGGTCAGTGGGTTTTGTGATGTTGACATACGGTTTGGCGGATGCTATAGGATGTGTAGTAACTGGATATATTGCTAAGGTAATAAATATATTAATAGCCTAATTAGTACACTAATTCGAGAAGAAATTTATAACCTATGTGTTATTCTGATGTTCAATTCAGTTCAATTGAAAATTCATGTAGGTCTATTACATATTCTTACGATATGTCAAAGCTACCGTCAGTTCGGAATGATTTCGAAATTCTATTTGACCAGTAATTCTAATTAAAATTTTTAAATTATAATTCGTATATTATAAGTTAATATGAAAATTATATTGTTTCAGATTACAGGTCGTCTTCCTTTGATATGTTGTGCTCTGACGGTTCATATAGCGTTATTTATCACGGTGCTGGTGTGGCGGCCTCAGGCTGGACTCAGTCACGTCATGTACATTATAGCAGTGTTGTGGGGCTTATGTGATTCTGTATGGATTGTTCAAATTAATGGTAAGATATGTATAATACCAGTTGTGCCCGCGACTTCGCTGGAGTGGAATAGACGACAAATGACGGATTTCCTTACAAACTTTCATTATCTTTTTATTATACTCCTATTTTTTTGTACGAACTTTGAATGTCATTTTCATTTGTATTAAATCAACAGTCTAAAAAGTTTCAAGCTCCCAGCTTTAAAAATGACGATATTTCCATACAACCTTTCATCGCCCCTTTCAATACTTTTTTTCGCATTAAAAAGTAGACAAGAATTTTTTTTCAGGGCCTGACTGACTGACGTATGAAATTTTATTTAAATTGGTTTAGGAGTTTTTGTGAAAGCGCAATAGACACACAGATATACAGAGTTACTTTTGCATTCATAATAATAAGTAAAGAATCGTTTACTAGAATTTTTATTTTTGGTAAGTTAGTGTAAATTGCATACAATAAATAAGATAAAAAAACTATTTTGTATTTCAGCGTATTACGGGCTCCTATTCCCTGGTAGAGAGGAGGCGGCATTCTCGAACTTTCGACTTTGGGAGTCCGTTGGGTACATAATAGCGTACCTGATATCACCATACATGAGGACGAGTTCGAAGACATACGTTATGCTCGCCTTACTAATAGTTGGGGTGTTGTGTTACTTCACTGTAGAGTACCGGGAACGGAAAGTGAAAATGTTTGATATAAATAACCTGAATTTAAAAAACAAGGAGCCGTGCTCTGAGAAAGGCTGTGATAACATAACTTTTCAGCACATTGAATGAGCTGTCTCTATTTCTGTGATTGTTAGTTTGTAGTTAGTTAAGTATATTAAATAAATAAAATCTAATGAAACGAACCTATATTTGAATTTTGTCTTTTTCATTCAACTCTCACCTCTTCATTTGAATGAAAGTAACAAAACACTATATTAGTAAAAATAGGTTGGTTAATTTTATTTGGACGGTCATTTTTAATGAAATGTGATGTACAATATCAACTACATCAGCGCTTGTCAGAAAAAACGTATTCAGTAATGAATTAATGGATTTATACTATTTTGTTTAATTCAGCTACTAATAGCATATGTGAGACAACCTGAGACAAGACAAGACAAGAAAACCTGACCACCCTTGATACCGATCAAATCCCTGTCCCATAAGTTACATTCCAAACTGGTATCAAAAATACAACAACCTGAGACGAGGTTTGAGACATTCAGCGACTCTTTATGTAATCGCCCCGCTGAAGCTGTAATGCCAAATACGGGTTAAGGCCAACAATATATGTAAAATGGATGCACTATTATTTGTGTTCCTTAAGGATTTGGTATCGTCAGGACACAGAAGGTGAATTAATAAGTCCGATAGTGTTTATGTACAAATGTGTTTTCTTGAATAATTTATAGCGATTATGTGAATAAATAATAGTACAAAATAAAAGTAACGGTCTTGCCGCGCGCTGTCCATAGATTCGCCACATAAAAATAAGGTTGTTTTAGTTTTGACATGTTATCAATTAATTGAATAGTAAGTACAACTGTCGAAGATGTGTATCGCACATCTAGTATAATACTGGATTTACTAAAAAGATATTAATTATTGAAATTGGACTTTAAAACTAAAAATATTCGTACATATATATGACTTCAATACATTATAATGCCAATGTGTGCTGTGTATAGTAGTAGTGTTATATTACTGAACAAATAAAAGGTTGTGTGCGTAATTGTGTCTATGAATGAAAGCATAATAGTTTCAACAATGGAATTATACAATTACGTTTTTGGATCCCATGTCTGTTCAAACTAACGACATATCGTAGTTCCGGTGACCACGTTGTGACTGACAGTGCACTGTCATTTAATGATTTATAAAAACTAATTTAATTATAATTAAGAGAGAATATGTAAATACATTTTTTTAATATTGATATATTAGTTATCTTCATACAAGTTTTCATTATAAGTAGCTTTGGGGTTATAAAAAATATTTAGGTATTCAAAGGAACAAAAATCATGTTTCATAGGTATTTAAAATAAACAACAATCTTGTGAGATGACATAATATAGACTAAAACAAGCGCTAAAATAAGAAAATATAAAAACAGGAATTCGAATTATTGGAATATTTTGAATAAGACGAATGTCTATTTTAATATGAGTCAGTTACACATACGTGCTCGTATTTCTACTAAAAGTTTTATTTTCAACTATATCAACAACAGTTGTAGGTTCATATATAATTCTATACAAGTCAAAATATAACATAATGTTACAGAGATATACATAGATATACACGTGTTACTAGATAAATAACTATGTTACGGGAAGATATACACAAAAAAATGGTTCAATTTTAGTCTATTTAAGGACAAAAAAAATAATTAATTGGTATCTAATTGTTTTTTTCACAACATATATTGTATTATGTACATTGACCTACCAAATGGTTGGCCTTTTCGATTTTGCAATCGCTAATAATACGTGACTTTGTTACCTTGGACATAACTACAGGAATATAGTCACCTCTCAACTGTGACAGGAGACCAATGCAATGTTTAGAAAGGCAGTATAATAGCATTTACCTATTCTGTCAGTTATATCTATACCACAATGTTAAGCTGAAGGCTTTGTTTATATATTGTCGTATTTAATGAATAGGTAATTTTTCTAATGAATGTAAACCATTACTTGTCACTTGTGGTATTGTCAATATGGTTATGAATTTTTTTATATACCTAGTTATAAGGAAATATATTTAAACGTCATTCAAAATATTAATACTAATCTTCGACATATGTGGTTATAACTTTATTATACTGTGATGTAAAAATTATCGCAATTAAATATCATTTACGAAGTTTTACTTATTGTTGTGTTGTAATATGCTCTTTGTCGTTTATTAGATACCTTTTGCACCTGTCGTGTTGTAAAAAATAGTAATAAAAATAAGTTAATTAACTATCAGATTTATATCAACAATGTAAAATATTTATTTATTAATTTCCGTAATGTTTATAATTTTTAATTTCGTTTTAGTCAAAGAACATATGACGCAGTAAACATATAACACATTCACGAAAACTTTAGGTATGTTTTAGATGTGTAATAACAAAGATAATGGTAATTCTCTATAATGTAGGTGGTATTTTTATTAATAAATATACCGATTCTTTTCTTTGGCTTCATGTGAGCTAATTTTACCTGTTTTTAATTTCAACTTCAAAGTAACAAAGATAATATTTTTAAAAATGAAATGGGCATTATCAATAGTTTGACCAGTATACAATTATAAAAACTGCTCATAGAATCTTTCACTCAGGGATAAATGCTTGAGGAAACATCGTAATATGTATAAAATGTCTATACTGAAATTAACAAATTAACTAACAAAAATAAGGTATAATTCATAGTTGAGATGATTAAATTATGTCAGAATTAAATTATTGCACACAATGTTTATGTACAATATATTTGTTATCTTATTTATAAAATAGTTCCTTCATTATTATTAATTTATTGTTAAAACATGTATTATTTTATTACAATTGTTAAGTTATAGGAAACTTACTTCAGCCAGCTAGGTCACTTAGCTTTTGGGGTCATTTAAGTCACGACACAATTGCAATACAGATTTGTCTGACAGCCTGTGTCTCTATACAAGAAATCTTATTTTTATAGAATATAATTGATTTGGAAATAATATTTCTGTTTTGAATAAGACAATTAGAATACTAAACCCATCAAAATATGAAGTAGAAATAAGAAATTCTCCGAACTTTCGATTAAGTTAAGTTTGATTAGGTAATTGCTGAGTATGTGTGAGTAATTGGATCGATTTAAATCTAAAGTTGTTCTAAGAAGATTATCATAAGAATTTTCAGGTAATAATATAATAATAAGCATTTGCCTTTACCATCAATTACATTTCGCCTGATCTATACATACATATATATTTTCGAGTTCATATTTCTTGTCCTCTAATAAAACATTGTATTAATTAAAATTATCCAATAACACTATTACGACTCATGTGCATATTAAATACATTAATTAATGTACATATATTCGGATTGTTTTTGCATAAAATCGAATAAATATGTAGGTACATTATACATAGATCACGCGATACGTAACAGATAGTAGTTCGTAGTGGGAGCAAATGTATTATATTAAAATAAATCCACCGTTGTATACGGCACGACATCTATTTATCACGTTGTATATTATGTTTTTGTCATTTATATATTATAGCTTATGATCCGTATACTATATGTAATATTATAAAGATGGTCATTCCATTAATGACCCATAACAGAACAAATAATAAAATGATGTTAGGAAATTGTTGTAAAATTTTTTTAGAATTAATAAAATTAATTTATATTAAATGATGAATTTATATTAACTCTACAAAAACTCATCACAGGTATATTACTATAGATAAGGGGATTTTTTATTATATATTATATTATTTTTGCGCTATGGTGATTTTTACAAATGTATAAATATTATTATTATTATTATATTTAGTTACTTCAATATATTTTTTAAATGCATTAAGCAGTTGGATTGGAGAATTTTATAGGTAGGTATTATTTTATTAAGTAGGGCATACTATTCACGGTTTACAAATGAAAGAGGCAGACATAGGAGAACAGGTTTAGAGGAAATTAACTATAGATATTAAATTGGTATTAGTTAAAGTCAATTAATCAATTAAACAGATGTTATATTTTAAAGTAAAATACAAATGAATGTTTAAAGAAAAGGTAGACAAATAAAAAATATCTTTAAGAAATTATAAACTCTATGTAAGAAAGTTTCGAAACAATTGTGTTTGACGCATTGAAAGATTTTGGACACAGACGCAAACCGCAGCATTCATTCATTCATAGTTCTCCCACACTGGCAGGCTTGCGTCGATTCATAGTGTGCTCACACTGGCCGATAGAGCCTGCCATAAATTAAAAGCATGTTTCATTAAAATGATAAAATATTTACAAGACAGTGACTGTGTTAGTGTTTTGTTATTATCACATTATTCCATTAAAAAGGGTAAGTTACTCTATAGTATTTATACATTATGCTTATATATAAATTTAAGCATTTAATGCATATTTAATAAGCAGTAATGAGTATTTAATAATAAAAAAATATAGTTTGTTGATTAAATTTATTTAAATAAACAATGTAAACATTTCGAATTTATAAGTACAACTAGCGCATAAACTTTGTACACACACTAAAAATATCGTTAGTCGGTTGTACTAAAATTATTTTGGGAACTAAGACCAGATATTATTTATTATATATAGTGGCAGTATGTTTTTTATTAATTTGTTTAGTGAAAAGTATTATTCATTCATAAAATAACTACGTGTTAGAATTAAATAAGTAACAGTGTATGAAAATTACAAGAGGTTTAGTTCTGTTAGAAAATGAAATTCGATATCAGTATTATAAAACAGTATGGGTAACATATTTGGTGAGAGTATATATATAAAGGTGTAATAGAAATTACAGAGGACGATGATAGGATGAGCTGTAATGAGCATAAAGTCAGGTCAGTTAGCACATCGTGCGGATTTACCATAAATTAATCACTGTAGTGTCCAGGGTCAGATTTTTTCGAATCAATCTAATGCAGTTGGCCATAGCTGATTTCTAGCTACACCGAAAGATTGTAGTTGGCACTCCAAGCCCGTGGAGTACTTCGGCTCAGGCCGTCGTAATTTCGATCCCCGTTTGAATTGGACAGGAATAGATCGGATGGTTTCAGGGAGTGCGAGGTCGACTTGATATAGAACATTCTTAGGGCAATTAGTAACCATTACTTATCAGGTATCAAGGTATTGTTTATAATGTATTTGGGATAGCATCTAGTTAAATCTACTATAAATACATAAGTGTACATCGTGTAGGCTAAGGTCACAACCCGAACAAACAATGAAAGAATGACAATCGAGATTATATTCAATCAAGCGGAAATGGAAAATTACCTACAAATATTTGTTTATTTCGCGTAAATTGTAAAAAAACACTACGATTACTATGTCAATAAACGGAGCTCGCCTTGAACTTACAATTTGATTTTTACCCGGAAAACGTAATCGAAGTTATCCAATTGATAGGTATACGTTATTTGACAATTTTAGTCACGAATCGAGAGAAAATTAACGCAAGAAAATTATAGAATTTAGCAACATCTTAAATATATCATGAATCTATTTACGAGCGATAGGCTTTATTCATTACATTAATCCATTTATAGTTAATCGTTCGAGTGTGTTTCAAAAAATAATTGTTTGATAGTATATAGTATAGAGTTTTATAGAAAACAGCAGCTCGTATTATGATCAAATTTGTGAGCGATAGGTTTCACCTGTCTTAGTTTCATAGTAATTCAGACGAATTTATATGAGAAATTTGATATTTTTTTTACATGCCCCTCTATCTAATAATAAGAATTATTGTAAGTCACTATAGGTCCTGCGTAATCGGTCCATCAATATTAAAGCAGCAGTAGTTAATTATAGAGAATGTATGTAGGTCAAATATTAGGTAGGCGTTAAACGTTCTAAGTGCGTTAATTTACGATAATTTTGACATAGGTATGATATGTAGATACATCTTTATAATTACTTACTTTTGTTAGTACCTATATAGTATTTTAAGCGTATAGTTTGTGTCAGTAGTTGTGCTTTTATTCTGTAATGTATTTATAGGTCCTTATAGGAAAGATGGACAACATTACTTTGTACAATATTATATGTTCTTATTACGCGTTTAAATTAGGGATTGTGACTACATTTGACTTAAATCATGAAAGGATTCATACATCTGTCTATTGTAGACCTATTAACTTGATCATACGTTTCTTTATTCTACGGGAGTCGCAGTTCCACAACTGTACCGCTAAAAATCCATATTTAAAATATAATCGATTTTACCTAAATATCGTAAACACAGCGCAGAGTAGCCAGAAGAAAGACAAACCACTGAGCAAGTACTCATTATATTTTAAATATAACGTAATGAATACAAATAAATTTAAATGTTGAATGATCTGTGATGTTACATAAAACATTAGTTTCACTGTAGTACGACATTGCACTACTAATAAATAAAAGTTATTTAAAATTTTAAAACAATTTGATGTGAGAACCGTACTTGACGTTTCAATAAATTATAGTTAACATCACTGAACGAGTAACATCAAGGAACATAATACTCTAAAGAGTAGAAATAGTTCTTAAATTTTGTCTATAACTGTTTATATTTTTTCTTTTTATTGTTTACAAAGCGAGGGAAAAGAAACGCAGTATCTGTAGGTATTTAGCCTAAGGAGAATTTGCGCGCTGTAACGAAAATTTTGTTCTAAATTCAAAATGGCTATAATAATTCGCGCCAACAGAGAATTTATTGAGTCTTCTAAAACCTTATTAGCAAGAACTATTACTTTAGATGAGTCAAAATAAAAATGTAAGATAAATAGTCTTACTTATTTTGAGTTTAATAAACAATGTCTCTGGGAAATAGGATATTAATAAACAAGTAAGTAAACGTCATTTTTTTATTCTCTTGGAGGTGTAGTATAAAACAAAGCAGCAAGCACTACATAGGTCATTATAGTATAATGTATAATATATATTATTGAAAACAATCATGATAAAACTATAAAACAGAGATTAAAGTTGGTGCAACACGTTTCTGCGAACAGTGTTTACCTGTATGACATGTATTACAATTTTGATTTTATACCGGAACTGACAATCCAGTTAAATCTGGTTCTATCACGTGACAGTTATCCTTGAATATCAATTAAGGAGAAGGGAACGTATTTGCACGCTTTAATGCCCACAGATTTACTTTTGTCACAAAAAATGACAAATCACATCTTTTGTCAAATAATCTGTATTATCATTTAGTAAAAATGGCCATGGTGTACGTTTTGCGCAGTATTAATTTTTCATGAAAATTTTATTGCGGCCAACATCAATGTGTACATTAGATGATAATATTAATAAATATAAACTATACATAATAATAATATCTTAGGACAATTGACACAACACCATCTAGTTCTAAGCTAAACGGGCCAAGTGTTATGCGTGTTAGACAACTGATATAAATAAATATTTTTTTTGTATGAATATGTACATATATACATATGTAGATCGATACAAACACTCACACTCATGAATACAAATGTTTGTACCGTGCGAGGAATAGAACCTGCAACTATCAAATGTAAAGCAGTGTTAAACGGCTAGCCCACCAAGGTCGTCGTAGGTCGTAGTAGTCCCAGTAAGGTAGTAGTAGTAGTATGACAAATGATGCATTTGTTCTAACAAAACATTTTATAAATTTACAATCATATTAATCTAAGATTAATATTGCTTTCAGTAATAAGGCCGCCTTATTGTAACTATACATGTGTTGTTTATTATATTGTTTATTCCTTTTCTTTACTGTATGTTACAAATAATGTATATTCTATCAATCTATCTAAGTTATATTATGATTAGAAGAGTTTTGAAATGTTTTTATGGCTCCTCATAAGATTGTAAAATATTTAAACTATAATATCATGTATGTATAAAGTAATCAACGTAGGTAAGTTTCATTTTTGAATAAATATGACTGAGTTAATTGAGTAAATATGACTATATAATTTCATATATCTAAGCAGAGTTCTACTATAGAAATTAGTCGCATTATAAAATTTTGAATATTGATTATTTTTATTAAGCCGGTTTTATAATTCTTCAAACTTCTTCAGGAATAATAAAAATCACGTAGCGGGAAGCTACATGGACATATTTATATGTTTTTTATGAACTAAACTTCAAAATTATTTTAATTCTAAGGCGGAATGGAGTTCGCGGGGTCAGCTAGTTATTTATATAATAATATTTAAACATATTATATATTCCTTACGGTTTAACATAATACAAGTTTTAAATAAATGCGCACAAAGTTCTAATTGTTTTGTAGCATGTATATTACGTTAAAGCCATCTAATCCTGTAATAAATCTAATAATGGTATAATATACTGTGAGTAAATAAAGTCGATCTCATGAAACCAGTATTTCAAGTTGTGTAGGTGGTTTTACCACTCAGTTACATCAGCAGCTATTCTATATGTTTTGTTATATATTTCGATAATAATTTAAGATTATGTTATGCAAATAAACTAAAAAATAGTATAGGACTAGTACGATCAATCAAGCAATCAAGCAATATTTCGGTTAAAAAGAAACATCTAAATCGGTAATGATATCGTGATACATACAAATGAATACATTAGAATTGAGTACCTTTTTTAAGTTTACGTTGAGAATTCTCAACCAGATTTGCAGAGTTCCATAAATTATTGGACAGACTACTTATGTCTTAATTTGATTTAAGTAAATTTGTCGTAATCTAACAGACCTAGTGGCACATTTTCGCATTTATAAATTAATATAGATTAGTCCATACATACGGATTAGTTCTGACTCTACTAACTGTATGTCTATTTGTCTAATTATTATGAGTAAACAACTGAAGGGAACTTAATAAAACTTGAGAAAGTTGCTTTTTAGTTGGTTGTGTATCTTAATAAAACTATTCCATCTGGGATTACACTCGTGATGATATTATTATGTTAGTGTTAGTACTAACTATACCATGCTATCTTGGGTAGAGCGTATATTCCATAACTCAACGAGTATTCTTGCCATACCTTTCAGAGAAATCACCATGGCGGAAAACTCTATGGTGTTCGCCTCAAACGAGAAATGGCGTATCAACCGAAATATCCTGGTGCTTGGCTTCGCATTCATGATTCATTTCACTGCATTTCACGGTGCCGCCAACTTGCAGAGTTCTGTGAACACGGATGCAGGCGCTGGAGCCTTCACATTGGCCGCTATATACTTCTCCCTCATAATCTCCAATATATTGCTACCCGCTATTGTTATCAAGTAAGTAGCTCTACCAACTTATTTATATGCAAAACATTATAACAATTTTTGTAAGGATGGAAATTATCCTATCATATAAGATCCTTATAATACAATCGACTTAAAAATGTTTTTGTGTTTGTATTAATGTATAATCAGTAGATAAATAAACACAAATAACTAACAATATTAAAGCAGTATCAGATTGCAACTTAAGTTTTAGCATGATCAGTATCCAGTACCGTTTAACGGGAATTGTAATTATTACTATTTGTGTACACACGACAAATCACACAGCGCTGTCTAGTTTCACACTTAGCTGAGAATATTATGAGTGGTAGATAAACTTATTTAAATATATAGATACAAAATATATATAAAAATTAAACAATAAAAAAAAAACGTCTAGAAAAAAGACTATAATCATATGTATTTGTATAATAAAGGAATTGAACTTGCATCCATAGTTAGGTTGGATCACCGATATTTTCACAAATATCAATATGAATGTTATTTCGGATTACTCAAATGAACGTCTTTAATTTTGATAAGTTATGTTTGGTACCTACACACAAACCCGGTCTATTAAAATAATTATCGAGATTTAGAATTTAATATAAATGCGTAATGCCTATGGTATGGCCATATGCGCTAATATAGACGGGGATTAATATTCGGTCAACATCAATGAAATTATAGTCATTACCAAGATCGTATCTTCATATTTTTCCAGATGGCTAGGCTGTAAATGGACAGTGGCGTGGTCATTCATAACGTATATGCCATTCATGGCGGCCCAGTTCTATCCGAGATTGTACACATTGATTCCAGCCGGCATGATGGTGGGCTTCGGCGGGGGACCACTGTGGTGTGCTAAGTGCACCTATTTGTCCGTGGTAAATATAATTTAAAACCAAAAGCCTTACTTATCCAGGTTTGTTTTTACTTTTGAAACCATATTAACGTAAATAATACTAACTGCATTATTCATAAAAATATTAATTTAACGCTAATTATAACGGTCAAAGTAATTTAAACTTTGCCTGTTTTTTTACAACTACTTTTTTTATTTACTTATTTTCTATTTGTAAACTCTTTATTGCACCAATTTAATATACTAGATAAAAAGTCTACAGCCGAAGGGCGCAAAAAAAAACAAAAAATATTATATATTAAATTTAATTGAAATATAAAAATTACAATTTAACTTATTAACTATTATAGATGCCAATTGGTCGATGTTAGAACCAAGAGTGATTCAACTCCGATAGCGTTCTTTGGTCGATTTCAACATTTCAGTTTTGCTGACTCGACGGCACGTTTCGGCGCATGGTACGATGCGCTGTATTGAGGCCGCTGCCTATACAGCGTTTTCAATGTTTCATGATTTCGTAACGCCTCCCCTCGAAGATAGGCAACTATTCGTAAGCTGTACTGAGAAAGTTGCCGGGATGCTGTTAGTGTCGATCTTCACATCTTTAGGTTGGATATTTCTCACCTCAGGTTGTTCATTTGTAATGTTCACTGTATCCATTACATCAGTTGAATTTATTTGTCCGCAATAGCTACGGAATCGGCGATATAATTTAATAGTTACAAAACTTGCACAGATGATTACTATAATAGTGTAGATAGGTATAGTTGTGTGGTAGACACTATCTACATTGACTTGTTCTAAGATTGCTGGCTGCTGCAATGATATTCTAGCATTTGTCTCGTGAAGATGTTCTAGATTGATAGAATTTAATCTTACTATAGGTTGAGGTTTAGATGTGGCACGCTCGTCATATGGTACTTCCGTCAGTGTAATCTGCACGGCATGTCCTTTAATTCTATCTTGAATGTTAGAGATGGTAAAATCTGGAGTTGACAGCATACAATTTATAGGAATTGATACTAGATAGCTTCCTTTAAGAATTTTGTAGTACTCGTGCCCGCAGGATATATGTACTCTAGTTGCTTTAGGTAGTGTCATGGTGTAGTGCTGGTCATCGAGCTTCTCGAGGGCTGCTCTGGTAAGATTTACTGAAGTCAGGTCACAGGAAGGACTGACCTGTTGTTTTAGGATAAGCTGTTGCATGCAGTCTTGGTTATCACGAATCTGGTACTGGTACTGGAGCTGTTCTTCACAAAGGTAGTATGTGCTTAACTTCGGACATTCTGTCGCAATGTACATAGAACCTGTTCTCTGAATTGCTATGAAGGGTTGGGTAGGTATAAGTATTTGATTATGTTGGTTTGGTATGATTGATAGTTTATACAGGATATAGGTATTAGGAGAGACAATCGGCACCTTAATAACTATAACTATTTTATTTCCTACATAATATGAACCCGATTTTATAATGTAAAAATATTCCCTTAATTCTATATCTATAACCTTTTCCTTAGAATAAAGTTGTCTAAGTTTAATTAGCATATTATTTAATGAATTAATATTAATTATAGAATGAGATATACTCTTAGTCTGAATAAAAGCTAACGTATTTTCTAAATTAAGTAAATTTTCTGACAAATTATCTGTATTATCTGTGAGCATCAATAGATACTGAGCTAGATGTGCATACTTTATTAAGTCAGTATCTCTGTCTGCATCTGATTTTAGTATTAGGTTAATAGTTTTACTTATTTCATCCTGATTTTTTACTATGTTATTTAATATTACAGAGTGATCGGTTATCCATTCTTTACCTAAACTAATGTGTTCATTCAACTCTGTTTCTAACTTATTTTCATTATTTTGAAGAGCTTTTATAGCACTGTCATATTTCACAGCGTCAGAATAATCAAGATTACCTGAAATACTTTTAATTATTGAACCGAGACCATCTATGAGTCCTCTTTTATTACGTGACTGTAAGAAAGTTTGCAACTGTTCGCGTACTCTTATGAGCTTATTATTAAGATGTAAGAGATGGGGTTCATAGAGAGATAACGTTTTATTTTTAAGTTGAGGATTAAAATTATCTATCTGACTTATAACTGATTCTATTTTTGTGAACATGTCATCTAGGTCTATGTAGTATAAAAATGAGTGATAATGGGAAATGACTTTTGTGGGTCCAAGGTTGAAGGGAAGAATTCCTGGTCCATTGTCAAGGGTGTCAAGTGTTACGTCTTCCGCTCTGGTCAGTTGTAATGTGATCGTCAGGAATGTTCTGTAACAACGGGTTACTATTAGGTCTTCGCTTAAGGCGTGCTTTAGCAATGGGACCTCTTTTCTTTTTAGTATATATGTGTATTGGCAGATCAGCCAGTACCACATCTTGGGTGAAACGTGGAGCTAATTTTTGTCTGCTAGCCATAGGGTTACGAATGAAAACCTGCTCATCTGGACTATATTCTTTTTCAATTTCTCGATCTTTATTCCTAGCCTCTGTAATCTCCGTACGATTGTGTAAAGATGTTTCATTAATGATGTTATAAACCATACTCATTCGTAACTTATGATTTATTACGTACTGTTGGAGAAGATGTTCATTTATGTTCGTATCTATAGGGTCACGTGGGTCAAAGTGACCTGTAATAACTTCTATAGGCCTACATTTCGTAAAGCTATGGATAGAACTATTGTATCCTAGTACCGCGTACGGCATTAAATTGACAGCTGGTTCATTGCGATGTTCTAATTTAAGAATTCGTAGATGTTCCAGAATAGTCGAATGGAATCGTTCAACTATTCCATTGCTATTAGGATTATGTGCTAAAGTCTTATGATGCTGTATTTTATGTAATCTAGTAAATTCTAAGAATATTTGGTTTGTGAATTCAGGACCTTGATCAGATATTAACATTATGGGAACACCGTGATGAGTAAAATATTTAAGTAGCGCTTGTATTACGCTTACAGCTGTACCATCCCGAAGGTGATACGCCTGTGCGTATTTAGAATGCGTCAACCAAAGTTAAATATTTCTCATTTTCAGCTGTAAATAAGTCAATGTGTACTGTTTCAAATGGCTTAGTAGGAGGTGGTACAATAGAATATTTTTGTTTTATTGGATTACGGTCATACTTTGCCATTCCACAGATATTACATTCACTTATGTATTTAGAAATATGATCTCTCATCTTAGGCCAAAAATATTTATTTGATAATGCAAGATAACATTCACCTGCACCTCGGTGGTTAGTCTTACCCTCGTGGTACTTCTGAATGATATCCTGTTGACGTAAATACTCTTTAACATTTTCAACTTCTAATTTGGTTAAAATGAGATTCATAGCTGAGCTTTTAAACTTTTCTTGTATTATTGGAATGATCTTGTACATTGCTAAGGGTGGATAAATTATTATACCAGTTCTAACTTTGGGGTTGACATATTCTTTAATCGCATTTATGATGTCCTGTTCTAGATTATTTTCAGATAATTGAATATTAGTTCGAACGTGTGATTCGAAAGGTTTATTAACAACTGGACGTCTTTTTACATCGCCTACAATCGTGAAACATATTTGTCTACTAAATTTATTAATAGGTTCATCCGTAATAGGTATCTCTAAAATAGGATTTTCGTTACTAGTATGAGCTGTAAGGGTTGTAGAGTCGGCTCTTGATGGAGGTTTTTCAGAGGGTTGCACGGCAATGGAGCTTAAATCTTCGTTATGTATTTCAACTCGAGATAAAGCGTCTGCATTTTGATTGCATTTGCCTTGCTTATAGATAACAGTAAAATTGTATTCACTTAACTTTAATCGCCATCTAGTTAATCTAGAATTAGGTTCTTTTAAACTCATAACCCATTGAAGAGGTTTATGATCTGTAACTATAGTGAATTTTCTCCCAAACAGATAAGGGCGAAAATACTTAGTAGCCCACACAATTGCTAGCAATTCCTTTTCAATGGTGCTATAGTTTATTTCGCTTGTATTTAATGTTCTCTAAGCATAAGCTATGGGTTTATCGGCACCAATGGGTCCTTGTGATAAAATCGCGCCTATTGCCAAATTTGAAGCGTCAGTTGTTAAAACAAATTCTTTAGTGAAATTTGGGTATTGTAAAATTGGGTCATTGGTTAATAAAGTTTTGCACTTTTCGAAACAATTAATATATTCTGGGTTATTGATGGAAATTTTTGAACCCTTTTTTAAGCATTGTGTCATTGGTTTCGTTATGCGAGCAAAATCGGGAATGAATTTGCGATAATAGCCTAGTAATCCTAAAAATCGTTTTATTTCTGTGGCTGTTTTAGGCAAAGGAAATTTTTGAATAGCAACAATCTTATCTGGATTAGGTTTTATACCGTCTTTACTAATAATATGTCCTAGATATGAGGTTTCTAATTTTAAAAATTCTGATTTGTCCATCTGAATTTTGAAATTTGATTCTCTCAAACGTTTGAATACTTTTGCTAAGTTAACCATATGCTCTTGTAGCGAGACGCTGAATACAATTATATCATCTAAATATACGAGGCATATTTCATTTTGGAGGCCTCTTAGAACGTTATCCATTACGCGCTGGAACGTGGAAGGAGAATTTTTAAGTCCCATGGGCATACGCATGAATTCAAAATGTCCATGTTCAACGTTAAAGGCGGTTTTCTGTATATCATCTGGATTCATTTCGACCTGGTAGAACCCGCTAGCCAGATCAAGAGTTGTGAAATAATGACAATTACCCAACTTATCCAAAACATCAGTTATATTCGGGATAGGGTACTTATCATCAATGGTCTTTTCATTTACTTTTCTAAAATCTACAACGATACGCCATTTAGTTTTTCCTGATGCATCTGCTTTTTTGGGAACCACCCAAATGGGAGAGCTCCATGCTGATTGTGAGGGCCGTATAATACCTTGCTCTAACATTTTAGATATTTGCTCTCGAACTTCTTGCCTATGAATGAAGGGATAACGATAGGTTTTAGTGTAAACTGGTACCTCATCTGTTGTGCGGATGTGGTGCTTGATTTTATTTGTGAAAGTTAATGGTTCACCTTCTATATAGAAAACGTCGGAATATTGACTACAAAGAGATTCTAAGTTAGCTTTTTCTTCTGGATTTAAATGATCGGTACGCAAACGTGATAAAACTTCGTTTACGCGATTGGACTGCTGTTCGGTGCGAATGCACTGAATATTGAATAGCTCTGCACTAACTGGTTTGTCCATAGAAAAAACTATGTCATGTCTAGTCGGGTTAGTAACTTCTACTATGCCGCGGTTATTTTTAACTGTAGTTACACAACTTTTAATTTGACAGTGTGAGATAGTCTGATCATTTATTAATGCATCACCATCATGAAAATTAACTGGGATACGAACTAATTTAGATGTATTTGCGGGGATTATATCCTCATATAAATTTAAATTACGAGAATCGTACATTAACAGAGGTATTTTCGAATTCCGTGTAACTAAAACCTTATCCTTTAGATTAATGCTAGATTCTAATTTTTCTAATAAGTCATAACCAATAAGGCCGTCAAAATAATCATGAAATTTATAGATAAATAGAGTAATATCTTCATTCTCTTTAAATTCTTGAAAGCACGGTAAAGTTAAGGAATAATAATTTTTCGTGGTTGCATGAATGTTTGTTACCTCAAAAGGATCATAATTACATGGTATATGCTGAAAGAACTTTTCTACTGCCTTGGGGCTTATGAAAGACTGATTGGCACCGGTATCAATGAGTAATTTAAGGGGCGGATTTAATATCTGAATATACGGTAATTGTCGCTGTGTCTGTAAGTTTATCTCTATTTTAGTTTTCCTGATTTCTGAATATTCATTTTCATTTTCAGTAACTTCGTAATTTTCGTTTTCAGTAAATTCGTCACGAGTTTCCTCTACATACGGGGATGGATAAGTCTGTTCGTCGTTTTCTGTATAATAGTCGGGATAGTAATAGTCACTGTCAACGTTATTATATGTGTCGTAATAGTATTGGGGTTCGTAGCATTCAGTTAAATTTAATTCGCGTCCTTTAAGGTAATTAGTAGGTGGTGGATTTCCATGTTTCCTCCAATCATGTCCAGTCAACATCGGTTTTGTTGGGTAGTGACTGACACCGCTCATAGGGCGTGGCGTATTATTCGAATTATATGGTCGTTGGGGTAGTGCAAATACATTACTACGTGGATTATAATTAGGAGGGACTGCGCTAAATATCTGTTGAGTTCTAGTTGGACCTCTAAATTGCGATTGTTGATTGTAGTTGGGTTTCCACATCACGGGAGGACGTGATGGTTGAACCATATGCATGGGTTGCGAACGTGATGGTCCGGGCATATTAAATGTAAATGGTTTAGATGGACCTTGCTGTGGTGGTATATTATTAAATTTATTATTATAATTATGCATAAATAGAGGATTAGTCCTCTTTTCAGGCATACTTTCATTGCGATTTTGCAAGTAGAGTGTGTTCATCTCTTCATGAACAAATTCTAAAGCTTTTTCGATAGTTTCAGGCCTCATGCACCTTATACGCGATCCCAAGGGATCCTTAAGTCCGCGTAGATATGCTTGTAATGTAAGTTTTTTATAGAGTTCGCGCTTAGAATGTATAGTGGTGGCAATAGTTTCATGTAATGTTACATATGTTATGATGGTACTGTACAAATTTAAGCATTTTTCGTAAAATTCCTGAGGAGTGCTTGAGCCCTGAGTTAATAAAGCGAGGTCGTTATAGAGAGAGGTCTCGTCTCTCTGATCTGAAAAATTATTTATAAGTGCGTTACGGATACCCTGCCAGTTCTCCGGTATGCCGTTAGAGTTTATTAAACGTGCGGCGGGCCCAGTAACTTTATTCAGGATGCCGTTCAGTAGTGCAGCATTTAATAAGCCATTATCAGGTGATGAATTGACATACTCGTTCACTAAATGGTCACACAAGCCAATGAAACGTGTTAAAATATTCGGATTACCATCGAATTCAGGCACCATTCGAAGGGCCTTCCATATGTTGTCTAAATCTGCCATAATTAAATTAAATTTATCTCCTATAATAAAATTACTGCTTGATGAAAAAGATTTTTCACTGCTAGTGTCACTATCGTTAAAATTTAAATTCCTATTTAAATCTATATCTTTATTTCTACGGGTCCTCGATTGCCTCGATTGGAAAATCTTGGAAAATTAAATTACACAGGATCTAAAAAAAATGACACAGGAATATAGATAGGAAAGCAACTCTAGATCGATTCTAGTGGTACTTACATGAGCATTCTTTAGTTGTCTCTGCAGTATCGATGTCTGGATACCCCCTCGTCTGTAGCTTCTTAGGTTCAGAATCGCCGCCGCCAGATGCTTGATTCACTGACTCTACTTTACAGCGATCCTACCGACTGCGCCAGATAAAAAGTCTACAGCCGAAGGGCGCAAAAAAAAACAAAAAATATTATATATTAAATTTAATTGAAATATAAAAATTACAATTTAACTTATTAACTATTATAGATGCCAATTGGTCGATGTTAGAACCAAGAGTGATTCAACTCCGATAGCGTTCTTTGGTCGATTTCAACATTTCAGTTTTGCTGACTCGACGGCACGTTTCGGCGCATGGTACGATGCGCCGTATTGAGGCCGCTGCCTATACAGCGTTTTCAATGTTTCATGATTTCGTAACGTACTTGTCAAGACTTTTGATACACAAATGGCCGTCTTATCGCAAGCAAGCAATATTTTCCAGACAACTGTTTTAATTTTTTACAAAGTGACACTAAAATAGTCACTTTGGCTTTTATTTTTTACGCAACAAAATAAAACTTGAATTCTTATGGATAATAATGGAATGATGCACCCACCTGTGCTAACGGTTAACATTGGCGAGGCACTAGTGGAGATGATAAAATGAACACGAGGTTTGGTTTCCAGAGGGAAGTCAACCTGATATACTACATTGTTAGCAAAGGGGTTATTAGTCCACATTACTAACAATCCTCTTCCCCCCGAGAAACTTGAATTAGAAATACGAGTAAATTAATGATATAGGAGATTTCATTGATATATCTGAATTTTGGTTTGTTGTGAGTAGTTCAATATGTTATTACTCATATAATTACATATCTACTTATTTTAAAATTTTACTGTTATGTTTATATTTATATGTTATTCTATTTGGTCATTTATATTCACATAAATTTTGTCATTGTTTTCATGCTCATTAATCTTATCTCTGCGTGAATAATTGCGAATGAGTGCTTAGTGCATCATAAAAAATAAGTGTAAAAAGGAATTTTATGTTTGGTAAATTCGAATTCACGACATCTACGGTTTATAAGTAGAAGTTGTAACTCACTGCGCCATAATATGCGCAAAATTCTCACGTCGTCCGTTGTTCTTAAATTTTGCAGGTTGCGGAGCCATATGCCAAGTTGTCGGGTATACCCGCTGAGGTTTTGGTGGTGCGATTCTTTGGCCTTTTCTTTATGTTCTACCAAATGGCGCAGATCTGGGGCAACCTTATATCTTCTAGCAGTGAGTACTTTAGTTTGATATACATTCGTATTTATTTATATTTTTTATACAATTGGAATAGCCATTTTGAATTTACCATCGCAATACCCGCCATAAATTAAAATATCATGCTGATCATCTGGACCTGTCTGATAGCGGTATCTGAATAGCGGTCCTCTATTGTGCTATTTTCTAGAAACTTGTGCCACACACAACTACATTACCGTTCCCTTCCCCTTCCAATGGTATTTCCGAACCGATACTATACTGAAACCTTCAAGAAAAGAGCTTATTCCTTTTTAAAAGGTCGACAATGTGCTTGCAATTCCCCTGGTGTTGCGGGTGCTCATGGGCGGCGGTAATCACTTCCATCAGGTGAGCCGCATGCACGTTTGTCCCCCGTGTTGTAAATAAAAAATGTGATGTATTCATGTATATAGGAGATGATTATCTCTTACTATTAGGAGGGCAGTCAGCTTGTTTGCCATAATAATTATATAAAAACATGTAATATAGAATAGGTTATTAGAATATTATATGACATTCACATAATTGCAATTATTGACGTCTCATTGCAAATCAGTTCGCGGAATTCCTACAGGTGAGAGGCTGTGTCTGATCGACCTTCACAGAGCCAATACTTCTGATTTAATTGATAATGTATAATAATTTGTGTTCCTCTTGACAACAAATTAATATTCACGTGGGTACATTCCGTATTAAATATTTAGTATGAGTACGGACAAAAAGTAAGACTAGAAATCATGATAATTAGGGCCTCTTAATTGGCATTAAACACTTATTAATGTAATAAGCTGTATATATTATATACTATATTTTTTATAGTTGTTGTAGTAATAATTTCTAGAACATAGCGCCATCTATTACTAATAGCATAGCTTGATTTATGGGTGGAAAACAATTGATAGACTTACTTGGACAAATTTTTATATATCGGTAGTAATCGGTAGTAAGTTGGTCTGTTAAATCACTTGACGACCGAGGCCGTTATTATTACTTAATATTTCTATGATTAATAATATTATTATTACTTGGGAGAAGTACATACTCGTATACGCCAATTAGTGGACTATATGGTAGATGGATTAATTCTACTCTTACATTGATATTGTCAGTACTCATTATTGACTACTATTTAGCATACATACAGTTTTATGGTCGTAGATTCAGTTTCCATATGGTACAAACATTTATATTTTTGAACATATGCATACTAAATTAGTTTATATTGGTTTAGAAGTTTTCTGTACGTAGTACCTGTGTACAACGAAATGTATTTCAAAATGTCTATAAATTGTATCAGTAAGCATAGTACAAGCTTGGCCTAGTTTAGGACTAGATGGTGCTGTTGTTTGACCTGGTTATAAATTATTGTTATTTATATTTGTAGTTCTCAAATCCTCACTCGGCGATGTAGTATCACTCAACGAGACGCGGGCGATTGGTGACGTCACTAATAGTACAATGTTACCGTCGGCTCTGAACTTGGGAACTTGTGGCGTTAACTTCTGTAGCGGGAGTGCCTCCGAGGTAAATAATATGTATATTTAACTAATTATATTTTTGTAACTCTAAAGTTTTAAGCGTGTACCTATACGCTTCCACTAATGAGTAGGGCCAAATAGGTCGCCCTAACAACGAGTTAGAACCGGCCTACACCATCTATAGGGCGGGCCAACGCCGCCGGGTTTTGTTATGGTTTTCCAAGGTTGTTCCGACTTTGATGGTGATTGGATCACGTCCTTTAGTGACGACAAGTCCAAAGCCGGGTTGCCCGATTCGGTCTCTGACGCCGCTGAAGCAGACATCTCCCTCGATTTCACCTTGAACAGTGCCACTAGGTTCACCTCGGATAGCTCACTCAGGCTGCGTCAATGCCTTATTAGGCGCATCATGGAGTGCGACCATCCTTGGTTCCCCTGGTGCGGCGACTGTCTTCGGCAGAGAAGTGGGAGCTGCCTTTCTTGCATCTTTGGTCGACGCTGCTGGTACTTTACGGGACGCAGCCTGAGTTGGCGCATTCCGTTCAGTAACCTTTTTCGGCGTGTCCTCAGCCGCAGCCTTTTCCAGCGCATCTTTGGGTGACGTAGATGGTACTCCACGGGACGCAGCCTGGTTTGGCGCATTCCGATCGGTAGCCTTCCTCATCAAATCCTACGACGCAGCCTTGCTCGGCGCATCCTAGGATGACGTGGATGATACGTCACTGGACGCAGCCTTGCTCGGCGCATCTTTGTCGGTAGAATGTCCAGTGCATCAAATGACGCAGCCTTGATCGGTGGTCGTTTTGGCGCATCTTGCGATGCAGCCTTCGATGGTCGTTGTTTTGGCGCATTCGTAGACGCAGCCTGTTGCTTCTTGCTTTTTTGTTTTTTGCCTCTAAATCCATGAGGTTTTTTATATACTTCACCTCAGGAGCTCTCCACCCTCCACGGAGCCCTCACGTCGGGGACGTCATTCGTTCTACGAATGATCGCCAGAGCTACTCCCTTGGTATAGGTCCAGCAGGCTGAGAAGTAGACGAGTCCGCACGCAGCAGCATAATGAGGACACCTACGTCACGAGACGATGAGGCAGGCTAGCCCCGAGGCACCGCGCCACGCCAACTGCCTCCCCCCAGCTCACCGAACCTCGCTTGACTACCCGCTTATGGGAAATCGCAGCCGGTTGATCGTGGTTAGCTACTCTACGACCGCCCATTTGCCAATTTTTTTGCTCGATGATGGACACGCAAGGACATGACCTCTCCATCCCTGTATTGGTCGCCCGGTAGTTTCGGTTACGTCTATTTCATAAGGAACTAGACCAAGAACAGGGCGGCAACCTCTTGGAGGATATCTACCGAACTTGCCTTAAGGATCTACACGACTTGCGCTCTCCCTTATGACCACGCCTCTCTACCACCTCCCTCAGAGGTAGTAGGCCTGTGTCCATATCTTATTTTTTTAATGAAATATGACTGCAGGCCCGGCCCAAGGTTCGTAGGTATAAATATAGACGAGAAATATAACAAATATAACAGTAACAGAAGATTTATTAATACATTCGTACTACCTAATATTCCAATTAAAGCGAAAGTGTTTCTGCATATCATACATAGTGCATTTTACATTATCGTAAGTAAAAGGATGAATGGATTATAATCATGACGATGCATATCGATGACGATGAAGTGAAAGAAGGAATAAAAGTTTGGACAACTTACTTATAAAATTGCAATCATTGATAATGTGACGAAAATATACTTATATTCAAACAAAATAAATCTGCAACTAATAAAAAGAGCTGATGACCTTTAAACGCATGAACACATCTTCAAAAATTTGAAAAAATCGTATCTTATTCGTTTTTCTAATATAGAGCCTACGAAGCCACAAACACACACATTAAATGTATAACACTTCTCCTTTTTCAATCTCGATATTTTAGCTCTTTCAATTTTCATACTTGATACTGAGCCGACTAGTTCGTGTCGTTCACGGGTATGACGGGTGCGTTGTTCAATCTATGCAGACAATCAAATTTTAGAGATACTAACAATATTGATACAAAAATTAAGTTAAATCTTCTTGTTTCACACATGTATAATAAATATACATGTATATAAAATATTTATTATGACGCCAGATCGCCGGCAGTAAAACTAAACAATGCATGGAAATGTAAAATATGCTAACATCAATAATGAGGACAAATCAATTATTGTACAATTCGCAGAGTATACATTACTTAGAACATGTTATTTTTTTAATTTAACATATTATTACTTGGCTTCCGCTAAGGAACGCTTCCCTGATAGCGATTTAATTATAAAATGTAATGTGTACATTTGAAAACTATGCAATTACCTATAAGTTTCCGTAAAATAACTTCGACTCAGTTCTAAGAATAATAACTTATACATTATATAATTATAAAATATACCTACGATAGAAAAGTTAATACCCGGTACCCAATCCGATTTTGAAAATACTTTGAAAGTTAGGGAGCCCATATTACGAAGGTTATAATGAAGACGAAATGGTAGTAGTTCTGTTGAGCTGTATACCAGCTTAACAGAACCACTTGTACTTCATACAACAACACCACTCGTACATATAAATAAAACCCTATCTCCTTTGGTTACGCCAATAACTTAAGTATAAATTTACTGATTTCATTCATATCTTCATATGTTTTTTAATTGTATTTTTTGGTCAGCAGCACAGATAACATAATATTACATACAGCAGTAAAATGAATGGAATACTATAAAATACTAATTGATCTGACCGTCAGACTAAAGTCTTATCCGTCATGCAGGAGTCCGTGTCCTTCAGTCGCTCCATAAGTCCTCCCGTGGGTCTGCACACACCCCAAATCATTCGGTGAAGCTGTAAAGGCCAGCTTCGGCCAACAGCATTAGAGTAGTCCGAAAAAAAAAACATTATAAATCCAAATTTCTAAATCTAAATCGCAATATATTTTGTTCTAATAATAAGCTGTAAATTTCAACTGCACCCTATAATAGGTCGGCTAGTATAGTTCGAAAAATAAAATAGAAATAGTAATTAAAATAGAAATTCATATTGATGGACAAATCATGTCCATTTAACTATAGGTATCACTCGATGGCCATGACCGAAGTTAATAAAACAGTGTCAGCTACAGCGCCCTGAACTTGAACTGGCATACTTGGTAGCTTGATCAAACTTGTTTGTTAATATCGCGACTTGATATGGTCAGCAATTTGCTTCACTGACGAATATCAATTAGGCTGGCTAACCACGTTTTTCTTTACTGTATCGTCATCGGTTATTTAATGTTTGGTTCCCAGAAAATGTTAAATTAAAAGTATATATTGATATATTTTGTATAAACCAATGGATAGAATATATAGTAATCCGATATATTACCCAAAGTAAATAATAAATAAATAACATTCTGGACAACTAACACAGCGCCATCTAGAACCCGGTAAGCCGAACTTCTGTTGTGGGTACTAGACAAATATAAATACTACTTAATATACATAGAAAACACCCAGACCCATGCAACAATCATACTCATGAATACAAATGTTTTCACTGTGCGAGGAATTGAACCGGCGATTATCGGAAGTAAAGCGGTCTGCTAAACCGCTAGATCACCGAGGCCGTCCTAGAGAAATGTGTATTAAACCCTACAGTACAATAAAAAAAATTCAGTATTGCCACTTTTATGTCTCTATAGATGTAACTATTTGTCCATGGGACTTACCTAATGGACATTATGTATACCATATTCATTTGACGGCCTCGGTGTACTAGCTGTTTAGCTCACCGCCTTACTTCCGACCTACTACCCATAACACAAGCCTAGTTTGGTACTAGATGGCGCTATGTTGATTGTCAAACAGAGATATTATTAATATTATTATTTTTATACATCAGGAGAACACAAATCTCTCGCCTCCATCCGAGATGAAGATTCACGTAATTGCGGGAGTGTACCTCGCTTGCATGGCGGCTGCTGTTCTCCTAGTTGCTATTGGTGTCGATTCTCTGTCCAGGTAAAATAATTATCATCTATTTTACATATATAACATTTGTTGCCAATGTTTGTCTATAGGGCTAACAACAATTTCTCACATCTATGGTTAGTAGAAAAAAACAAATATAGGGATGATTGATATATAATTATATGTGTATACCTAAACATATTTTAATCGAGATAGACTTTGTAAAAAGTCATCCGGTTTTATAAGATGAGTTTCGGTTTAAGGCAGTGCATGTAATTCCATACATCTATCTATATAGATGGGTAGATGAGTATGGAGGCATGACAACTTAGTATTCTGGAATGGGAACAAATGAGTGATGTCCATTATTTTTTATTGGGAGTTTTGGGCTATTTATAAGGTGGTTGAGTCCTGTAATACTGCATAGGTCTATTGTGCTCGCCCTTTTTCAATGTTTGCTATCTAGACCCGTCGGGGATAAGAATTAAAGGATATTCTTATGAACGATGGTTTTTATTTCCTCAGTATAGAGTGTTTCTTTCCAAAGGAGATATTTAGTTAATGTAAGAGTGGGCTACAACCACATAGGATGTTTAGCGGCGTTTGCTCATGTCCATAGTAGGTATACTGTTCATTTTTATTGGAGAAGGTTACCCCTTACCAAAAGGTTAGCTTGTGAGCCATTCTAATTACATGAAAAAGACACTAATAAATACATTTAATAAGTTTCTATAATATATTATTTAATTATATTATAAAAACTTATTATATGTTTAATATTAATATATTATTAATCAATATATATTATTATTATTCTAATATATTATATATGTATATACCGTATATATGCAGTTAGAAATATGCATTGACACAAAAAGGTTTTGATGTGTTTCATGTTTAAACCTTTAGGTCCAAATCGGACAGGCAATACCATAGCATAACCACGATGTCCTCTAATAATATTAATATAATACAAATAATTACTGTACAGATACACTTCCGGCCGTAAAATAAGTAATGAGGGAAAGTCGGGAGTTCGGTTACTAGCAGTGACTTTGCGGCAACTTCGCCATAAGTACCAGCTGCTGTTACTGCCTGTGATCGGGTACATCGGTGCTGAACAAGCTTTCATGGCGGCAGACTTCACTCAGGTAGAATCTTCTAGAATTTGTAATAAAAAAGAACATCATGTTTATACTGACACAGACGTTGAACAAAGTAGTTGCATGTATGCTTTTTAAATATCTGCTTTGCAGCTTGCTTTCTAAGTTGTTTCGATTGAAGGGACATGAAGAAACATGCCAGTGAAATTACCATATGGAGATATTACACCCTTATGAAATGAAAATACCTCTGGAATGGCAACTTATGAGGGTACCATGGTTCTGCCCGCTGTTCAAGTATGTTTTTCATGGTAGCTATTAAGCTTTAGGTACTTAAAAGAGACAGCGCCTACGTCAATTTTCAAGCACAAACACTCAATTTTATAAAGACAATGAGTTGGAAGACAGGCGTGCTATTCAAAATGTAATAAACATATGAGATTACAATTTTAGTGGAATTTATATACTACAATTTATAAGCTAGTTCTATTGGTACAATTAAATGATTACTAAATAATAATAATAATTGTTCAATTTATTAAATAGGGCTTGGCCAGTTGTAATTCAAATAGGTAGAGTCGTTGTAAAGATGACTACTCTACTTAAATTACAATTCAGTATAGTAAAACAATAATATTCTAGTTAAAAAAATATAATCTGAAGTATACTAAAATAACTTTCTTTTAATTTTACGATATGTGATGGATTATGTGATATATACTGATACAGTGATATATATAATCGTCAGCCTCGGTGGTCTAGTGGTTTAGCACACCGCTTTACTATCCGATGGTCGTGGGTTCGATTCCTCGCACGGTACAAACATTTGTATTCTTGAGTACGATTGTTTGTATCGGTCTGGGTGTTTTCTATGTATAATATGTATTTATTTACAAAAAAAAATGTATCCATGTATTTATATCAGTTGTCTAGTACCCATAACACGAGCTCTGCTTAGCTTGGGACTAGATGGCGCTGTGTGAATTGTCCGGAGATATTATTATATTGGCAAATTATCTGAAGATCCGTCTAATGGTAGTCGTCGCCTATGTCGATGAATATAATAATAATACATTTAACCTTGGATAATCTACGCAGTGTCATCTAGTTGTAAGCTAAGCAGAGTTTGCTATAGGTACTAGATAACTGGTATAAATACTTAAATTTATTTTTTTATAATTATATACTCAAATAATCAATCATACCCATGAACACAAATGTTTGTACTTAGTTAAATAAAAAAAATAGAGAAAATAAGAAAGGCTTACTTAGATCAGAATACTTAGCCATTTCATAGTATTCTTCCTAACAGCGTGTATATTTTGCACGGCAGGCATTCGTGGGTTGTGCGTACGGCATCAGCAACATCGGGTACGTGATGATAGCGTTCGGAGTGTTCAACGCGCTGGCGGCGCCCCTCGCCGGGGGAATGGTGAAGATCACTGGACGGTATCCTGTCATGGTCACGGCACTGGTCAGTATATAACACGTATTTCTTTAAATAATTAGTAATATCTAATATACTTATATATATATATAAATTCTCATCACGATGCCAATCCGGTATTTTTAAAGATACTAAATGTTTAATGTAATTTGGTCTAATATAAGTTATATATATTATAAGGAGAGAGAGAGAGTAAGAGAGCAGATTTTGTGATATAGAGAGAATAGTAAACTCATAATGGTTCCGATCGAACGAATTTAAGAAATTGTTTAAGCCAGGGCGTATTTAGCTCCTTAAAGTTAGATATCACAACTACATCTTCCTTGCATTTTTTTATGTAATGATTTATTCACTATCGTAATCTTAATTATAATTATTCTCTGCACCACCTATAAGACTGGTCGATAAGTCCGCCATATGTACTTCGAAATTATATATTACATTAAAGTTTTATAAATAAATAAAAATACGTACCAATATGGGCTATCATTCTGGCAAGTAAATAGAACTATCTAGTTACATTAAAAAACACGATAAAACTAATTCTAAATCTGTATCCACAGATCTTGAATTTATGCCTGCTAATAGCACTGCTGCAATGGCGGCCCAATCCTGACCAGTGGTTCGTGTTCTACCTCCTCGCATCCATATGGGGGGCTGCTGATGCTGTTTGGCTCGTGCAAGTTAATGGTGAGTTATATTTTATATTTAGCGAAATGGACTTCCGCAAAATAACACATTTCATAAAACGTACACAATATTGTTGTCTCTGTAAATCATGATAACAACTGTTATCATGATTTGAAAAGACAAATAGTTAGTTCTTAGTTAGTCCATTTCATTACTTAATGTTATTATGGTTGATTCCGCTATCGAATTATAGTTTATACTCGCTTACTACTATTTATTATATTCATATACATGCTTGTACTAGGTTACCAACTATATCCATATTAGGCCTGAAAAAATAAAACTAGTGTGTTTTTAATATACTCTGAATAAATGCGTTAAGATGTAAAATTAAAAAAATTGCAAAACAAATACATTTCTCTGGTAGTACTATTCAGTATAATAATGTCGAAATGGATCACAACTAATAAATTATTCAAAGATATAAGAGGGTAATGGTATTATATTTATCAAAAAGCTATTTAATTACTTTGTAGACAAACAATATTATTGTTTTAACGTTCCTTAAGATTGTTAAAGTTACTTCGTAATTTTTAATTTTCATTTGTCAAATATTTGATTATATATTAATTATTAATATTCTATTCATAATTTAAATAAACTAAATTAATCAAACATTGCAGCCTTGTCTGGCATCTTATTCCCTGGAAACGAAGAGGCAGCCTACTCGAACTTTAGACTGTGGGAGTCGACGGGCAGTGTGCTATCCTATGCAACCGCACCATACCTCTGTGTACGAACCAGGTATGAAAAATATGTATATATATACATGTATCTTAGTTATAACAGATTTATATATATATAATAGGTTCTAGTTTCAATACAATTATACAATTTTTAATGTAAAATTAAGTAAAATATATCACTCTAAGAAACTGCACTGATTCACGATAATAGATAAAGGAATATTGTTTATAATTCCAAAATTATGGAATTCTATTAAATTGAAGTTTTTGAGATTTGCAATTTATTATTAATTATATTATATATAGATCATTAGAAATTTTTAGAACCACAAAGCATATAACATTACTTATGAATATTGAATCTTATTATCGCAAACAAAATAGAATTTATAATGAAGTTTGCAACCTTTATAGTTCTAAGCGAAGATGCTGGCTTGTTAGCTTGGCGTCATTTTAAAGTTTTAGCCTACATTAAATTTTTTTATGAAATAATAATGGCTAAGAACAATAAAACCCATTTGATGGTACTGAAACTACTTATAATCATGCACAGTTATGCACTATGGGCATAATGATATAAAAAAATATATTAAAATATAATATTTTCTCGAGACTTCGATCACGAGCATACTTATAATATTAGTGTGGTATTTAATTTTTAGGTTATATATCTTGCTGGGACTACTTATATTCGGTTTCTCCGGATATACAACAATAGAGGTGATGGAGTACAGAGTGAAGAAGGCCCATCACCGCGAGAGAAACTTCGACCTCGTGGGGAAACACGGGGACTTGTAGTATGTAGTGTGTAGTACGTATCATCAGTGACACATGTATTCTGTAGATAATTTAATGTAAAAAACCGTAAAATATTATCTCCCTTCCCTTATCCACCATAATATGTTTCTCTTCCCTTCTTAATCTTTGTTCGCAGTCATATCTTATTTAGCCTTTCTTGTCATATCATCACACAGTCCATCCATATCTTTTTGGTTCTAGAGAACAGACTCTTATTTCCATCCAAATTTATATTAAAACATTTTTTTTATATGATATGAGTTATAACTGTAATCTATCGCATACCTAATATGTCTTCAGCTTTTTACATTTATATTTGTTTTTAATGTAATTTTATCTGTATTTCTTTTCAGTTCCTATTTGAGTTTCATTTATAGAATTTCTTTTGGAAGTTATATACATATAATACATGCATACAGTACAAACTTTGTGACATCTTTGTACATGCATGCGAAGCAAGGGATGATCGCCAGTTTGAAATGCAAATATTTAATATTTTAGGTGTATCTTAAGGCGGTCCGTGAGGAAGAGCACATCTTAGTTTATTAAAATTTATTCAGTTTATACTATGCATAAGTCATATTTTTGTACTGTTAGTTTCTTCGAAAGTCTTTCGGTATAGGCTTCTACATCATCATCCCTTTCCATTTTGTAGGGCGTCAACTTGTTTGATATTTCAGTCATATAAAAATTCGCCTTTATCAACATTACAACATTATACATGTTTAAAAAAAAAATATATTATTATTTTAATATCATCCAATCCTATCATTATGAATGTAAACTCTTTCGTCAAACTCTTGTGGTGAGTATTGTATATAAGATTTTATTACATTGTATTTTTAATAGAATGAATTTCTATTTTTATATTACTAGCTGACCCGCGAAACTTTCATCTGAGTCACATCTTACTTGGCATTTATCATTACATTTCTCCCAATTTAAAAAATATATTTTTATATTATACCCTTAATATTTCCCTGTTGTATAAACTGTATCACTCTAAAGTTTTATCAAAATCCGTTCAGTAGTTTTTGCCAGAAAGTGTAACAAATATCCATCTGCAAATTTTCGCGTTTAATATTATTAATATAAATAATCGTTCTTTTTATATACTCATGTCCGGTATTCTAAATACGTAATGTCTTATGAATTAGATGAATATCTGTTTTTATATTTGCTTTTAAGTGTTAATTTAAGGTTTATTTTAAGTAATATATGACGCATATTTTAAGATATTTCTCAATTACTTGATACAAAATAGCCTAAGGATCCGTCTATAGAAATAAAGCCCATAAAAATTTACGATAAGATGATAAGTCAACAATAATGGAAAATATTTACAATTGAATAGAAAATTGTAAAATTATTTATTTTTTAACGAATGTTCAATATTACATTTTATTTTAAACATTATAATATTATTTACTTGCAACTAATGCTAAATTAATTAAATGAAATTATCCGTCTTAATGTATTTAGCTGTAATTAACTGTTAGCCTTAAGTGTTAAAATTAAAATGTACTCGTAGTTCCGATTTTTAGAAATATGTGATATAAATATAGATTTATAAGTATTTTAGCACCGCTAGTATTGTAAAAGTTTTAATTAAAATAAAATTCAAATTAAATGTAAATAATAATGTAATATATCATAATAATATATAAATAAAACAACAGAATAGTTTCAATAAAATCATCGTTTTATTCTCTCCACATAAATACTTATTGTTGGATTAAAGAATCCTTGATTACCAGCTAAACAAGTTATTTTCATTAACTAAGTACAATTGTCGATTAACAAAGTGACTAAAAACATGTTTCGTTACACACATACATTATTAACTAAATACAACATACATACATATTTCTTTGTATGGATTAGTTTCAGGTATATTAGTTGTTCTACGGTATTTACATGTTGTAAGTGAATTTTCACAAAAGAATTCATTATGACATAAACAAAATTGCGTATTACTCTTTATTTTATACAACGATGGTGACAATAAAGCTGATTTTAAGCTATGTACAGTCAGCTTCATGAAGTTATTATATATAGGTCCCAGAATGGTCAATTTTACATTGACCGTAAAGTTTCAAATACATAATTATGTAACATTTCACAAATAAAATATAAACTAACAATCTATTTTAACTACCTTCAAATTAGGTAACAATATGTATTTCTGATATGACACATAATAATGATTGGTTGTGTTTTACAAGAAATTTTCAAGACTCTATAATGTAATGATACTAGAAATTAAAGTTGATACAATGAAGCTGACTGTACAGTCTTTATTGCGCCTTTAAAATCAGAGAAATGTGTTGACGATCCTGAGGTATTTTAACTTATCGTAAACCATAGACGGAAATTTTATAAAAGTTCTTCAATATTTTATTAATTATTTTCAGGATCTAAAATCTACTACACATCCATTTTAACTTTTAATCTAAATAATTATAAGGAATTCTTTTATGAAGTATGACAGTTTGTTGGTCTAATTCAATCAATAGATAGACTAATTTAAAGTTACTTCTCTTTTTACGAATTACCTATAACATTATGCAGGATTTTTTCATTATTATATTTATGATGCTATAGGTTACCTGTAGTGATTTTATTTTTACTTAATTATTATTTCAGTCATAAGGAAGACTTACTGATATTACAAAAAATGGTGATAATACGTAAACTACAACTCTAATACGAAAGAGCTACAAACAGTTTTAGCAAAACTATTACCAATGATTCAAAACACTTGATATAGGGCTTTTATATATTAACATGGAATGGTTAAATTGCTTAGTATGGTGTGATTCACAATTGTACAAAATAAACTTTAAGTACCTGTTAATAAAGTAGGTTGTGTATTGCAAGTATATTCTGTTAGTAGATGGCGTTCAAAGAAGGTTTCATAAAAAAAAACTTTTTTAGTAGAATTCCATTACTAATTATGAGAATGTCGAGTGCTATTATTCAGGAAATTAAAAAAAATATTTCATTCTGTTATTATCTCCATAATAGGTTTATTAGTGATTATTTTTATCAATAAGGTAGTCATTATGAAGCAATATTTATAGATCTAAACTGACTAAAAATATTATAATATATTAATAAAAAAATAGCCCTTCTCAATTGAAGTAGATAAATGGGTCAGTAGGAATAGTGATAAAAATATGACGTGCATAAGAGGCCAAAAATGTGATCAAATGATCTTAAGTTTACCGATTACCAAACGACCATACTCTAACCATTCCATGTAACACACATCATTTTTCCAGTAGTATTTTCAATAGAGTTGATAGACCTAACCTGCATTTATTTAAGTACCATACAATGTTCAACGCACAAAATATATTTATACACATTTAAGTCACTGGTCCGTACAAAATACGTTAGTTACATAAAAGCAGTGATCTATTTTATATTAACATCAAAAATCACCTATAAACAAATTCGTCGATTCGTTACACTATAGAATAGTACAATTACTTGTATTATTATCATCATCAGATTTAAAGCGTAGAACCGTAATACTCGTGGAAAACATTTTTACATATATAATATTCATTACATTTACAAAGGAAGACCGATAAAGGCACAGACATTATCATATCCATCTATATTATAAGTAGCACCTCAAACTTTTCGCTGGCTGTAGTATTTACGATCATTGTATGTATATAGATCTTAAATATACTATTTTGGCAATTAAGGAGATTACCACAGGTAAAAAATATTCTTTACATTCTTTATTTAACCTCTCTCTATAACAAAATGAAAGTAGGACATTGTGATATATACAAACAATCGTTACACAAAAAATATACAGGCGAAATTGTGTTGTAGAAAATTTATACACGTATACACTAACTATTTCTAATACATTGTAACAATTTACTGTAAACGGTATCGTACTGAGCTTTATTCAGGTGTGGCATAAATAAATGCTATTTATATAATGATGTTTAAACTATACATCTTTTAACTCTACATGTATAATTTATATACAATATAACTTTGTGACCCTGTATTAAAATGACAGTAGTAGCCTCAAAATATTAATGAAATATTTTTACATTGCGGCCGCTATATACAAAAAAAAATCTACAATGAAAAGCTCGTCGCAGGGTCTCTTAGCACCGAAAACTTTATAATATAACATTTCATAAAACAATGTATACTAGCTACACGATATACAAATGTAATATAATTATGAAAAATAATTAAAGTTCGTTTTATTGGAAAAATATATTCAAGTTCGTATTTTACGAGTAATAATTGTGAGTTCTTTAAAATTACATGTACACTAGTTTTAGAACTCACATTCTTTTAAAAGCAGTTCTAAATTTAAAATAATTAGTACCATTCATTTCATTATTGTAATTTCCCTCAACATTCTTCTTATATTTAAACAAATGATTTACTTTTTACAAATGGTTTTGTTATCATAAAAAATATAGACAATCATTTTTAATAGACAAACGAACATAATATACCACAATCACATATTAACAGTTAAAACATTTGGACGGCATTACGTTATTTAACAGATTTATTTACAGTTATTAGAAAAAAAAAACTAAAATAATCACTAAAAATACACTAAAGCGCTTAAAACATAACTAAATGCAAAATCTATATTAGGAAGACTTTACGTTCATGAACCAACTGACTAAAGTAATTTATCTAACTAATAATTATTATGAAAATGTGAGAGAAGTTGGTTTGACATTAACATTAGAAAGTGATCAATCAGATTTACGGGATTTTGTGCTATTAATTTATTCAGATTAATTATAAATTAATTAAAACAGAAGTGACTAATATGAATGTCACAGTAAATTATTAAGTACACTGAGAATAATTTATATGCTCCGACAACATCATAAAATATATATGTACAGTATGGATAGTGATTTTGTGTATGTATCATTTATTGTTCAAACAAATTCTCTATGTTATAAATTAAAGCACGAAACGGATAAACAAAATTCAAATAACAAAATTGAAAAGAAAATATACTAACTTAAAAATAGAATGTCTTTGTTTTAACTGGGACTTGTTGTGTTGCTCCTTGGTTCTGGTTTCAATGCTGCACCGTTTATTCGGGGACCTGTTGGTTGTGCTATATTTGTGTTAGCGGCTGGATTCAGCGCTTGACATTGAGCACAGGGCTCGAGACGATTAGCCAATGCCACTTTTAACTTTAGAGCTGGACCTAGCTTCATTTGTAGCATCCCGGTCAGCTGATCCTCGGTGACGAGAGGCAAGACTGCGCCGTCGATTCTTTGGTCCCGAAAGTTCTGGAAAAAAGAAATAGCAAGTTTAGTTTTTACTCCATTTATACAGAAACGTGCATATTTTACTTAATTTTTATTTGTGTATTGTTTTTGCTTTTCTTAGAACAACATATTTTTTTATATAAAACTGTTGATCCAGTTTTTTAACATTGCATATTTGCAAATCAAGAAATTGTATAGATTGATTTTAAAGGTTTCGTTCCATGGACCACAGACATGCTTATGGCTGTGGTACTCGAACCAAAATAGTATAGTATTGCATTTTTTTTATTTAACACAATGTAAGAATGAATACAACGGTGCTACAAGTGGACATGAAGTTTTAGAAGTTTTAATCAACGGTCCATTCGGTGTCCGGCACAAGAGCACCTGTCGCGGTATCACGTTATATCGTACTGCGACCGAAACGTTTAGATACTTTGCAATATAAATAAATTATTTTGATTAAATAATGATAACTATATCTGACACATGTTTTAAAAAGATTCGTCAATACATACTTATAATATTTTCAATATCCTGGAGAATCTATAACTGAGACGAATTTTTTCCAATTAAATCAAATCAAAATATCTTTATTAATGTAGGTCAACAGACTCTTATGATATTTCAAAAACTACCTTTAGTTCGGAGAGCATTCGAGCTAAGAAGAACTAACAAGAAATTCAGCTTTTATTCTTTTCAAATGTTTGTACATGTTTACAAAAATATAGATTCATTTTAAAATTCAAAATTCACTCTGTTCTGCCTGAACAGAGTGACCACAATGCTATTGCAATTTTGTTTAAAGGAAATTGTAGCAGCAGTGCACCCGTTCACGAGTATGACGGATGATTAATTACGACCTAACACCCCAATTGATATATAGGTTTATTATTCACACATGATATATTCTCAGACTACTTAATGTATATATTAGGTATTTATTTCTAATGTAACTTGTAAATAACAAAAAGTGCAGATTGACAAACGAAATAGTAATAACAATTGTGAATCCAACAATAATACAATAAAAATGCGTTACAGATAACGATTCTATTGAATAAATGACAGAATATCTATAATATATTGTAAGTACATCAGTCGTAGAATAAGCTGGACTATGGTATCAAGATGTATCAATAGATCTCAGAGGGCTATGCTACGAGCGGCAGGTCGCGGTCGCAGCGTCCAGCGACCTGTCATCTCCGCGGGAACGTTGACAAAAAGCGAGCCGCCTACGTGACGTCCTGCCTCCCCCCCGCTCCCCGAAGTACTGCGCCGCCGCCCGCGCACTCCTCCACGCTCGACCACTTTTTACCGCGCGACATTTGCCCGGAGTTCGATCCGTGTCATCCGACGTATTCCTTTTTTAAATTGCGCCGGTGTTCGATTATTTTATTTTTTAATTTTATAAGGCTTCGAGAAATACGCGGACAGCCGCCGGCCCATTGAGCGGTAAAAAGTGATGGCGTATAAAAAAGTCTATGAATAATTAAAGTGAGATAGCTACTGGCTAGATCATGGGAACGGAATTACTTGAGCGGCGACAGGTCGCCGGCGCGCCGGCCGCTCACTGTGAAGGACAGGTCAATTTGCGGGGAGCATTTTGCTCCTAAGATTGCCATTAGCGCTATACGTTCCCATCATTTTCACTTTATTTATGTAAATGGGAACATAATACTTTAAACATTCTTCCTAAGGGCTTACTGAGGATAGGCTTTGTTTGTTTCAGTTTCAAGGTTGTGTTGTGGTGGTAGATTAGAGGGTAAGACGACAAGACTAAATAAGGGCTGGTTTCTAGAAATGGCAAAGCAAAGTACCACGATTGTCACAGGATGATGTCAATAGTACATGTAGGCATACAGGCGATGGTTGCCATTTTCTATAAAAGTGTCGATCAGTTTATTTGTTATTCCAGTTACATAAAAAATAGTTTCTTATTTTTAGATAGAATAGTACTAAAGTAGAACAAAGGGTCACGCTGACCCTGATAACCTTCGCTCGACTTGGTTGCAGGGCATATTTATGTATAATGGGGGTTAGACGCAGGCGCGGTTCGGGACTCTAATGCCTGTGCCCGGGGGTCAAGAGTGACCTGCGCCTCGGTTAAATGGAGCCGAGTGATATTTGAGAAAATTGTTTAATTGGGGGTTAAATTATAGGTCCGTTGAATTGGACTTCGTTATATTTCTTTAAGAGTTCGGATCGAAGTTGTTTCCAATGATTTCTTGTGATATAAGAAAGTAGTGTAAATATGTATGCATGTAATATATTATTACATATAACGTCGTATTTACTAATAAACATTAACATGGATGAAATTTTTAATTAAATACGAAGATATGTAACTTTCTCATTCAATATAGAAGATACCTACAACTACAGTACCTATGTATTTTTATTGGTATTTGTTAGTTAATAGTGAATTTAAATTAGATTACCTATCATTATCGTGAGTTTAAGTGAGACACCTATTTACTGCAAACTGCATTATTTTTTACGGTTTGTTTAGTCCTCTAAAAAGTTTCCCTTTATACTTGTACTAAGTTACTCGTCATATGAAATAATAAAATAGACTCTAAACTAAAATTTCTTAGAGTTCGTATTTGTTATCTAACAAATTAGTAGAGCAAATTAAAGATTATATCTCTACTCATTACTACCTCATGAATATGTTACACTTTATTTTAAAAACATTTACCCACATTTGGAGCATATATCTAAAAATACATAATGATTGTTATTAAAACATAGCTATTATTATGTTCTATATTACTCTCGCTTCTTTCTACATTTACCAACGACAGCTGGCAATGGCGATTACAAGACACGCTCGTATCCCAACTAAAATTATCATCACTCAAGTCATTTTTGCTGCAACAAAACCTCATTGTTGCTGCACTTAAACCGCCCGAGAGAACTGAGCGATAACTACTCACACCCAGGGCTGCTACACAAGACTACTGTAATATAGATACTATTTAAAAAACTCTTTAAATATTCCATATAAATACATTCCAACAACTATCATTTGTATTTATAGAATAATTACAGACGATTCCTTCCTAATACTACATAGTTTTATTAATGTTTTAGTCTGCCCTGTAGCCCTGTGACAACCCTATGGCCGCCTTATATTTACGCAGGCTATATAGTTAACAGGCTACGGATACTGCGTATCGCCTGTGGCCATGAACCGATCTTAAATTGCGGCGTGTAGCCACAGCAGCCGCGTCCTGCGAACAGGTTGCCAGCTTGTGGGGAGCAAAAAAGGTTAAAGTATGCTCCCTCGGGGTCGGGCGGCGAGGGGGGCGGCGGCGGGGCGCGGGGGCTAATGACAGGGGCGGCGCGGCGCCCGCGGCTACCGCGCGCAAATTGATGCCTGCGCCCTCTACGAACCTTTGCTCCCGGCTAGTGATGTACCCGCACGATAAACAGTGACAAGCACGCTTTAGTACCTATTATTCAGTTGCGATATTGCGCAGGTGGGATGCAAGGAATTATTTACGATGCCAAATAGTTTCCTTGAGGTACTTTTATAGCTATACAATTCTGATTGCAGTTTTTAAATTTGGAATGTTTGTACACACTTACATACCTAGATGTATACATTTGCAAGAACGCATAAGTAATATACGACATGCCTCAATTAGAGGTAGTGGGTATCTCTATAATTATGAAACGTAAGTTAGCAATTACAATGAAAGTCGTGGGTTACTATTAAGATTATTATGAACGGAAATTCATTCTGAGCAACAAAACAAATAAAGACTAATATTAGGTACACGCAATTTTACTGCACGCTAATAACATACTATCGATATCGATAATCGTCAAGGCGATAACATCACTATGTGAGCCCGCATTACTCTATAAAGATTGCTATTAAGTTTAAAGCATGGAGCGCACTGGCTTATATTTAGAAGCTGACGGTGCACGGCTGAACGTAATTATAATCAGAGACCATCGCCAATGGTGGTCAATTTTCAATGGCTTTTTTTTCTTTTTAAAAGTAAGAGGTAAGGGGTCATGGGACTGATAGAGATTTTGATTATTTTTTCTTTTTATATCAATTGTCGTTTTTGTCTATTGTGTGCGGACTTTCTAACTTTTACTTTGTGATGGTATCTGTTATATATGAATACAGGTACCTAGGTCACTTTTAATAAGTACTAATCAATATCACTTAGATTTTTTTGTATAATTTTATGTCTATAAATAACTTTGAATATTAATATTGCCGAATATATATGCATAGTTTTGACACTCTAAGTCTACATTTAAAACTTTTAAATTATTGTTGTGTTGAAAAACAAGCAGGTGTTTATTTTATGATAAGTTTGTGGCAATAATACGGTATCGTAGTATTTAAGTGAATATATAAGTTGTTATTGAGAACAGACAAAATATATAATTAAGCATATAATATACATATAGTATATAATATACATAGACATGACACGGTGGTATCATTTGGAACTCAGATTAAGTAATGCTTTTTAACTTATAGATAGATAATATAGGGACTTAGCTAAATGAACATATTTATTTTATATGTATCTCTAGAAAAAATGTGATTAAATCATACTTACTTATGTTCTACAACATATACATGTTAATTATAATTGTGAAACAATAAAAACAAATTCACACTTATATTATACTATGAATTTAAATTTATTTGTTTCAGCATTTATTACCCGTATAGTGTTTAATTAAGTAGGTACTATCTTACGGATTAAATGTGTGATTATAATAATTAAACTGAATAATATAGCGTTCGTATACTAGTAGAATTTAAATTACTTTACTCATTTTGTTACTAGAAAACTTATCACCGTGGGGATCGGCGCGAGCGCAAAAAGCTCTACGTAATAATTGGAAAATAGTTTAACGCCGACCTGTGGGTGTGGCGTGCATTTATAACGTTCTAGTGAGACAGACTATGTGAAGCGCTAGAGATGGACGAGGACAGCAATTGGCGCGCGCGCAGGTGGGCGGGGATATAACTAGCGAGAGTT